GTCTTTTAGCTTTGATGAGCTCAAAGACTTTGATTTGATGACTTTTCCTAAAGTGACCCAAAATACACAAAAATGAAAATATTTTAAAATGTTATATTTTTGTACAGGTTATATTTTCTACCAGTTTTTGTACACTGAGGCTGTTTTGTGTCAAATTTGACCCTTATATCCATAGAGATGGATTTTAGATCTACCAGTTAGGGACAACTCAAGGAAAATGGTGATTTTAGGGAACCTTGAAACTGTGAAACTGTACAGGCTATGTTTCATGTGTATGTTTTATTTACATTTATTAATGTGACAAAGGCTATTTAGACATTCTATGTAGATCTGTAGTTTAAAATTGGGTGTAGACACTTACGATGAGGGTATTCCTGACAGGAGTTCTTCACAATATGGTTCAAAATTGATCTGAACCATACAGTGAAGGCATAAAATATGAACAGTATGTAAGGGTTAATAATACTTTTGGCTAATTTTGGACATGTTTTGATTAATTTTTGGCCAAATTTTGACTATTTTTGGATAGTTTTACTCATTTTCAAGTCAAAATAGTGAGAAACTGGAACATTGTCTTGTCAAACTTTCCACTCATCAAATTCTACTGATGTTAGAGCCTCAAACGTTGGTGAAATGTTAACCAAAGACTGTATTTTAGTAGGAATATGGATCCATCCATATATATACACTTACAGGAACTTTCATTGGCCACAATACCACCGAAGTTTAAAAATGTTGTGCTTTTTTTTTCTCTCTCTCTCTCTTTCTTCATTTTCTTGAGCCAGTCCTTCAAAATGTGTCCTCTGCTGGAGCCATTTAATCATTTTGGTCAACTTTAAACTATTCTGCCTGTGTCCTCACCAAAGTTCATGTCTGTGGGACTTTTATTTCTGGAGATATTGAACCATTAAAATGGCTTCACGGACCAGACAATGTTTTGACAATGTTAAAAATACAAAACTTTCCAGGTCTTAAAACATAAGAAATTCTCAAAATTCAGCCAAAATATTTTCTAAAACTTTTGGGTTTTGGGTCCCAAATAACAAGTAAATAAACTCTGAGCAAAAGCTGAAACAGTGATGCAATACTGCTATCTGGAGTGACACAATAACATTTATTTGTGCAGCACATTTTTTAAACTGAAGACGCTTTGCAGAAAAACAGCAACAATAAAACAAAACAAAACAAAAAAAAATTACTGGAAATCTGTTTTGGAACAAACAAAGATTGTGTCCCAGTCACATCGCTGGAAATACACCTGTGAATAGATGTCTTCGGGACCTTTCTTGTTTAGTTTGAAGGATTTGAAACATAAACTCGTTTGGAAATCGTGCAGAATTTAAATACCTTAGATATGTTTTTTTTGCTTCCAGACTCTCTGACTTTCTGTTGACTTTTCTGAACTCAGAAAAAAATCTTTTCAGTTTCTTGTTTGCTTTTCAGTGGCTCCTTGGCAAGTTTAAACTGAAGGAACATCTTTTTTTTTTGCACCAACGTACATAAATTTAACTAAAAGGAAAAATCAAAGTGACACATTATTGCCAGGAGATGATCTATCTGCAGAAAAGATCATAAAGTGTCTTTAGCAGACTTTGAGTTTGAGGTTTTTTTTAGTTTTTGTGTTTATAGACTCTAACTGAGTGCATGAATCATTTATTTTTAACTGTATTTTGTTTTACACCTTTCTCATGGGCAGACAAAAAAAGGACATATGAACCGTTAACCGAATAAATAAATGTGTATAATCGAAATAATTACCAAAACAACGTTGACTGTATTGATCCCTTTATTTTAAAAGTCTTGCATTTGTGTGTTTGCAGCCAGATTCACGTCTTTAAACTGATTTCCACAGAAACAATTTCAGCTAAACGCCTCTAAAAACAAGAATTACTCATTTTCATTCCGCATAGTTTTGTATGTGTTGGACTGTCTTTGTAAAAACAGCCGTGTGGTCGTGTACAGACTTCAAGAAAAGGTGCAGGAAGGTTGCGACCTTCAGCATCGTCTTGTTCTGCAGAGTGAAGGAAGGCCGAGAGAGACGGGAGGTGATGAAGTAGAAAATTAAATCCTGAGGAGACCCTTGAAAAGAAAGAACCTCGTGTCACTCAATTACCTTTTACAATGGTGCATATTTAAGTCTCTGGGGTTGTCGTGCTGGAAGCGTTCACGCATTTGAAGTTTGCTTTAGGAACATTGTCAAGGTTATAATAATAATAATGGGTTAAAATAAATGGCACGTTTCATTTTGTCGAGACATGTTGCAGCTGAACTCTTTCTCCTGTCGTCCATTTCATGCTTGATCATTTTTCATCTCCATCCGTTTCCTGTGTTTATTTCTTTGTTGTTGTTTTTTTTTCATTCCCGTTTCTTTTCATAAATTACAGCTCTGTTCGGTCGTTTCTGCAGCACCGGCAGCTTTGTCACCACTAACATCAGCGCTGGAGACTGAATGGGAGATGCATGACTTGCTCTGATGGCGAATGTTGCATTTTGATCTTCCCTTTTTTCTTCCTTCCCCTTAAATTTTCTTTGTTTTTGTTGTGTATGTAATGAACGTAACTGTGTGTCTGTTTCTTCTTTTTCATTTGTAACTTGAATGAAACAAACTAAAAAAAAAAAAAACAACTACAACAAAAGAAAACAAACAAACGGGGGACAAGCAGGTTCATTCTATGTGCATGTGCTTTCCCTCTAGACTCTGGCTGCCCTAACGAGAAATTCGATAAATCTGCTTCCAAACCATCTCGCACAAGCTTTGCATGTCCACTCTGGTCCTGAGGAAATTAACAAGCGAATAGAGAGCGCCATCGACTTACGGAGTGGCGATAAGTTGAGAAGAGAGCATATCAAGCCTTTCTCACTGATGTTTAAAGACTCCAGCCTGGAAGAGAAGGTAGCTGGAGTTTTAGACAGACAACTGTTTGGTTTCTCTCTCTCTCCCTCCTCATATCTGCTCCTTAGATCAAGATTCTCAGAAGCAAAACAAGAACCAGTATTTTTTTTCTCTCTCTTTTTTTTTTCTCTTTTTTTTTGTCCTATCATGAGTAAGCTAAAGGCACCTTTGAATTTATTTTTAATTTTTTTTGCATGAGTCATTGTAACATTAAGCACAATTCAATGGAATAAGCTTGTAACATTTATGGGACAATGGAGGTCCGGGGTTTTCTTTTCGCTCAATACTTTCCTCTATTCGAGTCTGAAATGTGCCGTCGCAGTAATTATGGACATTATTCGTTATCATGTGCAGTTTAACACATGATCAACTATGCAATTAAATGTTTTGGACAAAAAGAGCCAATCAACTCACTATTCAGCACTGGAAAAACTAAATAAAATATCTGTATACGTGTGCAGGGTCCAGAGCTAAAAATAAGAATATAGACATTTACATTTTTTTAATATATATATTAAAATGTTTCAGTTTTTTTTTTAAATTTCAGTCAATTTTCCATCAGTTTAACTTAAAGAGAGTCAAATTCAATTCTTTAGGCAGGTAGTTTTGTGATCTCACGTCATTACTCATTTAAACCTCTAAACAGTTTTTGGGTGCTTTATTTGTCTCATTTCTTTTCACTGTGGGCTCGTTTTTCACTGCAGTATAAAGTCCTGGAAACAGCACAGCCATTGCTAAAGTTAGTGGGAACTCTTACATTGACAAAAAAAAAAAAGCATTGAAAAGAAAAAAATGAAAGTTGAATCTTTTTGATTTTGATTTGTTATTTATTTATTTTTACAAATATATATTTTTTTAAAAGCCTAAAATTAAGTTTCCAAGTGTCCACAGAATAAATGGCAAGTCTACATAAAATAGATATTTTACTAAATTTTTAAACTATTTTCATATTTTTATACTCTCTGTTTTGTGTAAACACGGCCTGCAGTTCAGCCAAAAAGTCACTGCTCTTCAGTTATGCCAGATAGCACTGAATGTATTTATGAATTTATTTACAGGATCTGGTTATCTTTTTATTTTTGGTGACATACAGAATAAAGTGATTTTGATTAAATGTCTAGATTTTATGCTCAGCCTAATTTATTCATAGAGCTTCAAAACAAACACCATCATCAGTTTATTGTGTTTTATTTAATTATTTATTTATCTTGGACTTAGACTCACTCTTGATCAAGAATAGTGTTATTAATGCATGAATTAGATTTAATGCAACGTCTATAATTATTCTGGTGGCACACTTCGGGCTCCACGCCAACCTGCACGAATAAAAAAAGACAAATGTCCAGCTGCAGATTTGACCTCTTCTGTTCAACGACATTAAAGTTGTCTTCACTGATTCCCTGCAAACATTTTGCTCAGATATTAAACCCACTTGACTCATGACTCATGTTTGATTGTAAAAACCAAAAAATAAGTGTACTTTTGGCTGTAATGGGAACAGAATAGTGAGAGATGTTTGGCTACGCTGATTTGTTTTGCCATGAATGCAGAACCCCCTTCAGTTTACTCATGACCAAACGTCCATGGACCTGTTTGACAGTCTTGTGGAAAAAGTTGACACGATCAACTTTTTTTTTTTTTTTTTTTACATTTTTCTTTTTTTCTGGTCGTGCGCTGCATCCACTAAAGGGGAAACTTTTATCAGATGTTTTTTCAACATTATGACTTCCATATCCTGTAATTACCACTCAACACGTCATAATTATGGGACTGTTTCCCTGAACTATTTTCTATTTCTCTATTTTTTTGACAGTAATTAGAGCCCATTTCTGCTCGTCTATGAGTTAAATACTATCATTATTAAAAGCTGAAGCACATTATTGATGGATCGTGTTGCTGCAGAGTTAGAAGCTAAACTGCTAATTGTTATAATAGTTCTAAATATACCGTTGCAGTGGAAAATTATGAGAAAATATCATTTGAAACGGTGGAACAAACTGAATCGATCAGCTGCTGGTGATTTTATCAACCTTACAGGCAAAAAAAGGAACAAAAATGAGCGTTTAAGGCTTTAATTTGCCTTTTTTCTTCACTTATTGAAGGCTTTGCTTTAATAAACAGCACAAATGGGTTTAATTTACGGCTGCAGGTTTTGCTTTGACACCACATGTCGTTTCTGTCGCAGCAAGTTGTAGTGAAGCAGCCTGTCGCGGCAGTTTGACTGATTACTTAATGTTTGCAGTTCATCTCGGCCTAATTACGAGATGTTAAGTCATAATTACGAGACATGGAAGTCGTAATTACAACAAAGTGTGTCGGACTGTTTCTTTTCTTCAGTGGATGCCGTGGACTTCTGTAGCTTTAAATCCCCTTTTTTTCTCCCCGTTTTCTTTTCCATAAATAAGCTCACTTTTGACCTTTGAGTTGATCCTCACATTGGCCTCCACATTTGTGTTTCGAATCCCATCTTCAAAACTTTTCCCAGAACCTTTTTTGTTTCTCTCTTTTTGTTGGTTTCCCTCTTAACCTCTTCAGTAAATGTGCAGTGATTTGCTGTTGGCCTTCCTCATCTTTTTTTATTTTTTACTTTTCTTTTTTTGCCAAAGTTGTGACGAAACGTGAAGCATCCTCTTGCTAATTTCCCAGCACCCTTTGAGAAAGAGACAGAGCGAGGACGGGGTAGCGAAGGGGTCGATGGAGGGAAAAGTTGAGTTCGTTAAAGACGTGGTGACTTGGTTAGATGCTAAATGCTAAACGCCACACAGCTCCCACCTTAGATGTCAATAAAAGCCCAGGACACCATGAAAATAACAACTTTTAAGCAGCGGAGGAGGAAATATTCAGTGCAGTTCATTCATATTGACAATTTCTGAGCATCTGATATTGATCTGAACCTTTTTCTGAAATCCTAACATTTACAAGATGCATGAATTTACCCTAAAAGTGGCTTTAAGTAGCGACATTTGAATGTAAAATCTAGATCTGTTTGGAAACCAATGCTACTGCAGCAACAAAAACAACAAAAAAAACATATTGCTTAAAAAATCTCATGATCTAAAGGCAAGATTTAGCACTTTTGCACCTTTTTCTACGGTTGAGTTTTGAGTGATGATGTTTTGTAACATATTTCCAATCCTAGTTTCAGTTAACTTCATAAAAGCCACCTTAGCTTAACTTGGACGCAGCGCTCTCCGTTGGTCTCCCAGCTAAGATCTAAAGCTAACTGCTAATCGCTAACGGCTCATAGCTAACAGCTAGCGCCGGCTTCGCTCCTTCCCCAGGACCCCACAGCTAAACCCACCGGCTCCTGTCTCTCTCTAACGCTTGTGGTTTGAACCGTTGCATGCGTCTGTGGCAGTGTCCGGCCATGTGTTTGCATTTCGACGTCTTCAGTCTTCTCCGTTTGTCTGAATACTTGTTTCTCCATCTTTCCCCTCACCTCCTCTTCCTCCGTCTTCTTCTTCCTCTCACGGCGCAGTACTCCCAGATGAGGGACGAGGTGTTCAAGTCCAACCTGGTTTGCGCCTTCATCGTGCTCATCTTCATCACGACCATCCAGAGCCTGCTTCCCTCTGCCAGGTAAGAGAGAGGTGATCACTGAAAGGCGTTTTCAGATTTTACAGAGAAACAGTTGTCAGTACTCAATGTGCACCAATCAGCCACAACATTAGAACTCTGCGGATCTTTGAAGATGTTCTGTGGTTTCAGGCACTAAAACATTAGCAGCAGATCCTACAAACCCTAGAAGTCAGAGGGTTTGGCCGCTGTGGATCAAACTTGCTTTTCCACGTCCAGCAAACACTCTGTCAGACTGATGTTTGGGGAATTTGGATGTTTGCAGTGTAGCGAGGAGCATTATATGATAGAAATCATGGTCCACATGAATGTGGGGACCAGGGTTTCCAAGCAGAACATCACCCAGGCCATCAGACTGCCTCAAACAGCTCAACTTCCGACAGTTGAGCTGTTTGAGGCAGTGTGATGGATGGATGGGTGGGTGGATGGATGGATGGATGGGTGGGTGGATGGATGGATGGATGGACAAAGGTGTTTTGTGGTTTGGGTCACCAAAATGCTAGCAGCAGGTCCTTTAAATCCTGGACCCCTGGATCAAACCTGCTTTTCCACTTCCAACAAATACTGTGTTGGACTGGTATTTGGGGAATTTGGATGTTTGCTATATTCAGGGAGCATTATGGAACCAATGGATGAGCCAATGCAGGAACCAAGGTTTCCCAGCAGAACGTTGTCCAGAGCATCAAAGTGCCTCCACCGACTTGCCTTCCTCCAAACCTGCTGCCATCTATTTGGAGATAAAAGATGCGCTCAGTTGCACAAGATGGATAAGAATATTCGTCACCTTCTTCTGCTGCTCCATGGTCCAGTTCTGATGTCCATTGTTGGTTTTTTAAGTGGTGGACAGGAGTCAGCATGGACGCTCTGCAGCTACATTGGAAACTCTGATGCTCTCTGTGTTTTGACACCTTTCTGTTACAGCAGAATTAAAGTTTGTGATTCTTCAGATGGATTGGACCACTCAGGCCAGCCTACATGCCCCAGTGAGCCTTGAGGATCCACAACTCTGTTCATCGGTGGTCCTTTCTTGCCCCACTTTTGTTCACCACTGCATACTGAGAACATCCAACAACATCTGCTGTTTTGGAGATGCTCTTGTTGAAGCCTCCTGGATTTCTCCATGTTTGCTGTTTCCAACACGTCAACTTCAAGCACCAGTTGTTTGCTTTCTGCTGGACATATGCCACCTACTAATAGGACAGTCGGTGTTACTTAACCTATCAGTGGTTTTTATTAGGGTTTTTAAAGCACCACTTATCAGGTACTTGTAATGCAGTCCTGGTGTCCCTCCCCAGGCAGTTCAACCACCATTCACAGCTTGAGTAAACACCTGAGACTCCCGCCACTACGTGAGAACTGAAGAAGCTTCTTGGATGAACCTCAAACATCTTCAAGAACCAAAGAAGTCCAGTTTTCTTCCACAGACAAAACTTTTGACAGGTTTTAAAACTTCACCTTCACATTTTCAAAGATAACAAGTATTTCCCACTTTTACTGGACCAATAATCAGGAACACTTTGTATTTTTTCTCCCATGAAACAATCGTGGCTTAGTTTGCATTTCTCAGCTACAGCATATATGAAGCTTGACTAAACCGACTGCATATATTCTGAATAATTACCTCACATTAAACCAGTGGAGTGTTTTGCAGCCTGTGTTTGTTTTCCCAAATGTACAGAAATGACCTGTAGCTGAGATGTTTGTATTTGCTTGTCTCACATTATTTCCATACTTTTTATGAAACTCATGATATTGATTCTTGTAATTCTGAGATAGTGTTTCCTCCTTTTTCAATATTTGGTCAGGACAATGTCGCCAAAGCATCAGTGGAAATATGACAAGTATACGGAACAAGCAAACACCTGCATCACTCACCAAAAAAAACAGAAAATAAATCATTTGAAACAAGAAACTGTAAAATCTTACATCTTTAAAGCATCTTTGCAAGAGGCTGGGGAAGTTAAGAAGTGAAAAGTAAAATCCACTTTTTACATTCAGCATCCAAACTCCCACATTTCTTGTTGTGTCTTTGCAGGATGGTAACCATGGTGATCCAGTTCTCGGTCCTCATTGTCCTCCACTCCTGCCTGGTCCTGGTTACGACGGCGGAGGACTACAAGTGTCTGCCTCTGGTCCTGAGAAAGGCCTGCTGCTGGATCAACGAGACGTACGCAGCGCGAAACGTCATCATCTTCGTGTCGATCCTCATCAACTTCCTGGCAGCCATGATCAATATCGTGAGTCTCGTTCCTCGATCAACATGCTGCTGTTCAGCGGAGGAACGTCCAGTTTAACAGTTTTTGTTAAGCCAAAGAGCTTCATGGCAGAGAGGAGAAGTTTTATTACACAGTAAATACAAATTCTTTAGTAGGATGCATTCACAGGTTTTGACTTTTAGTGGAATTTGCTGGCATCCAGGTCAGCCGTCCCGTCCCCCCCGACGACCTCCTTAGAATCAGCTGATTCTTTATTTACAGTAATTTTATTTAATGAAGCAGTTTTACCTTCATACTATTAATATTGATACTGATGGAGTTCTGAGGCTCAGAAATGATGGAAAAAGTCCAATAAAGTGATAAATGTGGACCCTCCTCTATGGACTTCAAGGGCCTGGAACTTTGAAACTATTCATAGTATGAAGGTAAAACTTTACATGGCTTCATAAAATACTACTGATTAATATTTTTATGAAATATGCAAAATCCTGAAATGAAATCCTTGAATTTAAAAGGTTTGATGCACATCTGTCAGACATAAGAACCAACTTAATACCAAAGCCAGTCACAATAGTTGTCGTCGAACCAAACCACCTTGAAAACTGGATCAATAAGTCCTTTAACTGATCTGGATCCTTTTTCCATTAAAATATGACGTTTGAATTTCAGAACAATGAGGATTACGTGATCAGTTTCTCCGGCATCCTCTTTCATAACTTTGTGATTAATTCAAAGGCCGTTTTGTTTTGAAAGTCTGAAAGCTCGACCTCATCGACCCCAATTTACCTGATACAGCAGCTCTGTTCTGCAGCAGGGCGCCGGCTCAAAGACACAAATCATTACTTAACTAAAGCACAGAAAACAAGCTGCTAATTAGCTTCTGCTGCTGCGAGGTCTCTGATTGCATCTCGCAGAGCAAATTATCCAACCAGAGGCCTCAGAAGGACGAGATAATCAATCAGAAACTGGGTGAAATCTGAAAGACAGTAACCTTCACTAACCTGAAACTGCAAATAGGTCACTTTTTTCATTTATGAAAACAGCAGGTACATTTACTTAAGCACTGTGCATACGTTTAATTATAAAGTATTTTACTTGAGTATTTTAATTTTCTGCTACTTTCAGCTTCATAAATCACAGATCAGACCGCTGGAGTAGAGAGCGTTTTAGTAGAAAGTAGTTCAAGTGAAACCTGCAAACATTTGTTCTGTTGATGTGGATTAACATGGAGTCAGAATTTGACTTTATATATTGATCTACAAATTTAATGCCTTTCATCTTTATTGTCTTAGTGTCATCTTCGAGTCAAATGGCTCAAAAATGAATATTCAGATTCCGCTCAGGGAAAACCAGTGTTCTCATTTTAGTTTTTTTTTGGCTAATTTGGATGAAACAACGTGTTAAATAAATTAATTCAATTTTTTTAAATGATAATTAACTATTAATTCAAGTTAAAACAGAAAAAAAATTCACCTGGATCACTGTGAAGTACCAATATTTCAACCCCCCAGTTTTACAGGCCGACATCCAAACCATCTAACATTTTAATCATTTGCATTTAATGTATGGTTTAAGAAACATTCACATTCCTGTAATTCTAACAAAAGACAAATCTTTGCATTAATCCAGTTCAAATATCCATAATAACTTATACAAGGTGTGTCAGAAAAGTTCCAGGACTGGTGTCACAAAAAGATATTCTTCAAATCCAAACTACAAACTACAAGTTTTTTCCTTTCAAGTAATCCCCCTGGAGTCCAACGCATTTCCCCAGCCTTCTCTGTCACCCCGCCATGCACTCCTGGAAGGATTCTTCCAGGATCCTCCACAGCTCTGTCATCACAGCCATCTTGATGTCGTCCACGTCTTCAGAACGGGTCCCCTTGATGACCCCCTTGAGCTTGGGGAAGGGAGAAAAAAATCCCCTAGAACCAGGTGGGGTGAGTAGGGAGGTGTGAGGAGATGTTCTTCTCAGCCAGGAACTGTTGGATGCTCAGGGCATTGTGAGCAGGTGTGTTGTCATGGTGAAGCAGCCCCGACTTGTCCTGCCACAACTCTGGGCTCTTCTCTCCCACTGAATGAAGCAAACGCCGCAGGATCTCTTTGTAGACGTGCTGGTTGATCGTCTGAAGGGGAAAACTGGTAGTTCGTTGTTTGGGTTTGAAATAGATCTTTTGTGACACCAGTCCTGGAAGTTTTCTGACACACCTTGTAAGTGAGCATAACATGGAATTACTTCAAAAAGTTCTCGTCCTCACCAGAAAACATCTCGTGAGAAGGATTGTTGCTGCATTCTTTTTCAACATACGCTTGTTTTACTTTAATGCACCTATCCAATGATGTTCGAGCTTCAGTGTTCCTTCATGCAAGAAGATCACATCAGCATCACTCTGAAAATGCCGATCAGAAAGTGTGATTTTAGCTGTGAAACAGACAGAAGTCAGACGGTTCAAAGCTTCATGGAGCAACAGTTCAAAGCCACATTTGGACGAAGTCATCGTCCTGCAGCAGCAGAGCGTTCCTCCTTTTGTCTGTGATTGCTTTGAACGTCTGACTTCTTGTTGACTCCCATATAAAGCTGTATAGTTCTGTCTCTTGTTTCCCAGTGAGACAGAACTTTCTAAAGTCCCCTTGAATCACAAATTGAGTTTATTTTAGCATCCTGTCTGTCTGTGGTTTCACTGTTTATCCACCTCAGTGATCAGATCCGTTCATGCTTGCAGTAATAACACCACTGCACATATTATTGCATTAAAGCAGCAGAACTGAAAACTCTCAGTGAAAATCCACCTCATACGCCTGAACGGGAATTGTCCAGACTAAACAGCATTTGCTGAAAATAAAAATGCATTGACAGCTCTGACGGTTATTCATCCTGAGCTCAACCTGAACATTTCTCTGAAGGAAAAACAAACAAAAAAACAATAAATCTGTGCAGCAGCGGTGCTTGGATGGAGGCACAGTTTGGATCCTGCTGCTGTCTGATGCAGAAGTTGAATACATTTAAAGAAAAGAAGCTCTAAAGTTTAAAATCTGATTCCAGGAGCTGTTTGTATGTTGGTTGGACTCTTATTAAAGGATGTCGAGAGACTTTCCACAAATATAACAACAATGTGCTTCTGAACACAGACTTCAGCTTTAAATCTGAGTCTTATTCTGTTTCTCTGTCTTTTTTATTTTTACTTTAGCACCACTGCAAATATTGTTGCATCAAAACAGCACAACTGAAAACTCTCTGTAATAATCCACCTTATATGGACAAAACAAAAACTGTCTTGGTGGAATAATATCTGCTGAAAATATAAATATGTGGTCAAGTCTGATTCACGCTGCAGAAACTGTTAATCTGTGCAGCTTGCAGGAAATAATTTGGGTTGATAAAGCTTTGAAAAATCATAATAACAGGTCAGAAAACTGAAAAAACATCAGCGAAGTCAGCTTTTGTTCCACCTGCAGTCGGACGCTTTCTCAGTTTTCATCCTCTGTGATGCTGCGGATGTTGAATAAATTCAAAGAAAAGAAGGCGACGGTTGAGTTGTAAAGACGCTTTCCACAAAAATAGTGACAAAAGCTTGTGGCTTTAGCTTCAAAACTAAATTCCGTGTTGATATTAATCCCGATTCCTTCATTCGTGAGCTTCACGCAAACCCAACATTTAAATGCATCTTAAACCGGTAACACATAAGCCGTTTATTCATATGAAAACGCGGCAGATTATTCCGTTAAGAGGTCCGAAATGTGAGCTGAAGCTGTAAATTTCTCGCACACACATCTTGAAAGATGAAAGGCCTGATGAAGTGTTTGCATGTGAAGGGATTTGGCTGTACGACACCACTAATCCTCCCGTGTTGATCTCCTGCAGCTGTGGTGCGACTTCGACAAGTCCAGCACCTTCAGGAACCAGACGTACAACGAGTCGGCCTCCATCCCGGACATCTGCTTCTACCCGGAGGTACCGACCCGCCGAGCCGCCTCAGCTCTGCTCTTGTGTCCATCTGTTGTGGTTTTTCCTCCTCGAGGCGATGAATTAAACATCGTCAGCATCTGCTCGCGGCCTCGGGGAGGTCTCGCCTCAGACGACGGAGAAAATATCCGTTGCGCTGATTGATGGGCTCAATAAGAGGGAACATTTTTAGAACGTTTACACATCACAAACTTTATTCTCTGCAGCTCATGTGTGCAGATAAGAGCTGTTTTAGATACACAAAGAAGAGTTATGGACTTTTTTTTTAGCTCCAATGTTAGGCCTTCGGTGCAGCCATTTGTCAGATAGTTCATTTAATGTTTTGTTTACATTATTTAATGCATTGAGGGGCGCTAAACAGACTCCACACATAAAGGTCAGTTTGTTATCTTGGTTTCTTACAGTTCTATAATGCCTCCTGTGGCTGCGGGGTTTGGAGACTTCAAATAATAGAGAAACTGACAAACTGCAGCACCGAGATTAAGATCTGTTTTGTGTTTACCAGACAGGCAGAGAAATCATTGGTGTCCCCGACAAGAAGGCTTTAGGCAGCACTGAAACCACAACAACTAAGAGTAAAAGAGAGATATAAGCTCTTTAAGCCCGTTTTGTTAATTGGGGTTTTAATTTACTCTAGCGTATTTGGCATTTTTGCCCGAAGGCAACGTAGATTCATTGTCTCATGTCTGTTCACCCCCAAAAGGTTCATTCTGAGCCAGAAAAACAACCAAAAACAACAAACACCTGAAGGCATCACGTAAAACAAACTTCAGTTCCATCACTTAGTGTTTGAGGCTGAATACCTGATCAAGATGAAGAGCTGAGCTCAGCATAATAGTTCTTTTACAATGTAACATACAATTACACTTTTTTGGACTGTATTTTTTACAGATATTTGCATTTACTTGAAAGAAAAAATATTTATTTGTTTATTTTTACAGCTTGTACTCATTTTTAACTGTTTTTTTCTCATCTGTTTTGTTAAATTTCAGATGATTTCTAGGAAAATAGGAAAAAAATATTACAGCCTTTCACTATGTTTTTTTTTTTTTTTCTGGCAGAAGAAGTATGTATATTAACTATTGTAAAATGGTATATATACTTCTCATGCTTTGATCTTGAAAAAAAGGTCCATTCTTAGTTTTTTGTGGAAATTTAGTAGTAATTTACCAATAGACCACTTTCAAATGTTTTATTTAAGTATACATCACGCCAAATGCTAACACCAGCTTACTAAAAGCTATGCCGTTGAAAGGTTAGCTTATATTTGCTTATTTGGAAAAGGCTGATGGTTTGAACGGCGTCCTTTTGTTTTTTCCAGTATTTCGTATTCACAGGTGTGCTGGCGATGGTCACCTGTGCCGTGTTCCTGAGGCTGAACTCGGTGCTGAAGCTGGCGGTTCTGCTGGTGATGATCGCCATCTACTCGCTGCTGACCGAAGCCTTTTACACGTCGCTGTTCGTTCGCTACGACACCGTTCACCACAACACAGAGTGAGTTCACATGTTCGCGGACTTCACAGGCGCTCTCAGACTCGACATGAGACAACAATATTTAATGCTTGATTCATGACTAAAAACCGTCAGAAGTTCTTTGCTTTGACGGAAAAATGTGGTTTTACTTTACGGATTATTCCCCGTTTTGTTAGATTACAGATATCAACTAGTAAAGTCACAAAAAACAAAACAGGCTAGCAAAACAACAAACAAAAAATCAAAACTGTAAATAATGTACTCATCAAAGACCTTTATTTTTTACAGTCATTTGTTCTTTACAGCATTTGAACATAAATTTACACTGTTTTGATATCAGCAATAAAATATTTTATAGATTTTTGCCATCATTTGATTTTTTAAAAAATGCATATTTTAAATTGCATAATGGTAAATTATTTAACTGTTATTTTACAGATTTTATGGGTTTTGGGAAATCACAGATAATTAGTTTATTTACACAACAAAGATGCTAATTTACATGTTGACCATTAAAAAAAAACAACAACAAAAAAAAAACTGCGAGTAATATTGAAATCAAAAATCTGTATTTCTACTATTTTACAGATATTTGGTATTATTTGAAAGAAAATGTGTGATTTGTTAATTTGTATGTTGACTGAAAGAATCCGACAAAAAAAGGACAAAACTGTAAATAATGTCCACATTGTTCTTTTCCAGTGTGTCACTCTACATTTATATGATTTTACTGTATTTAAAAACAGAAAGTATCATCATTTTACTGATATTTGCTGTTTTCTTCAGTTTTTGAACATTACAGTAGTCCACAGCGTTTCAGTCATACTCTGTGTTCCCGGTGCTTCGTTTACGTGCTGTCGTTTGCCTCAGTTTCAATAGTAACTGTTATTTAATATTATTTCTGGTGTAAAGTACATTCAGGTACGTTCTCGTCGCTGCATTTCTTCGTCTGTTTTCTCACCCGGTCACCTTCAACAACACATGAAGCCACGCTGACCTTTTTTTTTCTCCACACAAATGTTGCCAACGTGAGAAAATCCTCTCTGTGATGCCTCGGTGACCTTTACAGTAACAGAGCAGGAGGGCATTCTGGGAAAATAACCACGGAAGACCTGTTCGGAACAAAAAGGAATAACCTCGGAGCAGAAGGTCTCGAGGGAGCTGGGGGACGTTAGATTCATTTCTTTAAGGCCTTCTGGGAAACAGGAACAAAGGTCAACATGAAAAAACCTGCAGAGGAACCTCAGCCTCGCTTTGTCTCTCAAACCTTTCGTATGAATCTGTTTCTATTATTGCAACAGAATTATTTGTTGCACTGCGTCTCTCTTTATCAGTTTTACATTATTGAGATATTCTTAATGAGATCAGAAATACATTTGTCCTGCACAGAACATTTTTCTACCATCAGATGCCACATTTAATAGATTAATTGATCAGTTTATCAAACTAACATCAGAAGGGACGACTGCTGTGAATGAACTAAGCTAAACCAACAAAATGGGGATACTCACAGGACAGGGGACAAAAACTGAAGAGGGCAGGCAGCCTCGGGGTATCTGGCAAGGGCTGGGGAACAGCTGGAGCAGGGCTGGGGGCAGGTACAGGTTGGTTGAGGCAGGATTGGGGCAGTAGCAGGTGGTTTCAGGTGACACAAAGATAGAGTTTCCACCACCATAAATAGAGATAAATAGGGAAAAATAAACAATAAGGAGGTATAAAATGAAGTCCTCCTTTCCACCACAACTTCATGACAGTCTGGTTTGCAGCCAGTCACAGAGCCGGCTTTCCTGATCAGTTTGTTCAGTCTGCTCCCCCAGCAGACCACTGCAAAGTACAGGGCGCTGGCCACAGCAGACTGGTAGAAGACCTCCAACAGCCTGCTGCATGTGTTGAAGGATCTCAGCTTCCACAGAAAGTAGAGTCTGCTCATCCCCTTCTTGTACACAGAGTCAGTGTTGGTCCTCCAGCTCAGTCTGCTGTCGAGGTAGACACTCAGGTATTTGTACTCCTCCACCATGGCGATGTCCTCACCCAGGATGTGCAGCGGCTATGTTGCTGTCCTCTTCTTCCGGAAGCCGATCACCATCTCCCTGGTCTTGGCCACATTGAGATGCAGGTGATTCCTACCAGACCACTCCTACAAAATCCCCCACCAGAGCCCTGTGCTCCTCCTCCTGTCCATCTCTTATACACCCTACAACTGCCGAGTCATCACAGAACATCTGCAAGTGGCATGACCACCACATCAGACAGCGCGCTGCCCAGACGGACAAACAGCGGTCTGTCTGTCAGGTAATCAGTGATCCAGGAGATGGTGGGCGTGTCCACACTCATCACCTGCAGCTTCTCTCTCAGCAGAAAAGGCTGGATGGTGCTGAATGCGCTAGCGAAGTCAAAGAATGTGATTCCCACAGTGCACCCGACACCATCCAGGTGAGAGAGAGCACACTGCAGCATGTAGATGATAGCATCATCCACACCATGATGGTAGGCGAACTGCAGAGGGTCCAGTGATGGTTTCACCTGCGGTCTCAAGCGGGTCAAGACCAGCCTCTCCAGCACCTTCATAACATGAGAGGTGAGGGCAACCTGTTGGTAGTCATTGATGGAGACGGCTTTTTAGGAACCGGGACCAGCGTTGGTACTCTCTCCTGTTCCAGGCTCAGGTTGAAGAGGTGACACAGGACTGGAGCCTTGCCAAGATGGAGTCTCTCAAGCTGTCTCCTCACCTGGTCAGCAGTCACTGCCAGACAGGGGATGGTCATCTGTGATGGGGGGGTTGCATCTGTGGAGCTCAGCAGGGGGGATGTAAGGGGGGAAGCATTGAGGGTAGTGAGGGTGAATGGAGGCCAGTGTGTGAGGAGGGGGAGGCATCAGGCTGTGAACTACACCTGTTGAAGAACCAGTTCAGCTCATTTGCCCTCTCCCCGCTGCCAGCTGGTACTCTGTCCTTCACCTTGAACCCAGTGATTTCCTTCTTACCAGCCCACATCTCCTTTGAGTTGTTCTGCAGGAGCTTGGCCTCCAGCTTCCTCCTATAGGAGTCCCTGCACTCCCTCAGCTTCACCTTGAGTTCACGCTGCACCCTCGTCAACTCCTCTCTGTCCCCAGCTCTCAAAGCTTTCTTCTTCTTGTTAAGAAGGACCTTCAGGTCACTGGTAATCCAGGACTTGTTGTTCAGGAAGCAGCGTACAGTCTGGGACGGCAAGGTGTTGCGTTCACAGAATTTAATGTATTCTGTGATGCAGTCTGTCATGGTGTTCACAAAGCACATCCCAGTCTGTAGACTCCAAGCAGTCCTGCAGTGCGTCGTTTGCATCCTGAGTCCACCTCCTCACTGTCCTTGTGCAGACAGGCTGGTGTTGAACAAGAGGGACATACTTTGGGGAACACAAGAGGAGGTTGTGGTCAGCTCTGTCACGTTGTGATGAGTGAGTGCAGCCATGTCTCCATGAAACAAAACACGCTACACTCACGGTGTTCCCTCTGGGTCTTCACCAGCATGCTGAGCTCATCCATCTTATTCCCCAGAGACCACACGTTCCCCATAATAACCGCTGGCACAGAGGGCTTGTATTTCCTCCTCTTTGCTTTCTGCTTAGCTCCAGCCCTGCATCCCCACCGTTTCTTCTGTAACTCTTCCAGGATCTTGGGCCTCGCGTCAGGCAGCAGCAGTGGTTGTCGCATCGCCATCAGCTGTTCACAGTTGTAGACAATGGTCCTACCCTTCTCCGCTTCCCTATAAACAGATGGTACAAATAACCAGGATAACAGTTATCAGTTATCCAAGTTTGAAAACAATTAACAAAAAAGTGAGCAAAATTACAAAAATCAGCAACAGTGAACAGGAGCTACTGTAACAGGCTGCCGCTGCACACGGCGCTGGAAGTATTCAAATCCGACGCTGAGGCTTTTCAGGAGCTGAAGGTGATTGTAGACAGGTGAGCTGACTGCTGCAGCTGTCTCCAATACCTGTAGTCAGGCACACAGGACCACGGTGAAGGGAGAGAGGGAGCCAGGCAGGGGCTGAAGCAGGGATCCTGACAACAATATCAGCATGTCAGGTGGTGTTTTATTGTTGATTTTAAGTTGCTGGAAGCATTTCCTGAGCTTGAGGAAATTTTACTTGGAAACATTTTTAGCAGAACCATTACAGAGCTTTACCTGTTTTGTGAAGGATGTGATTTTGGGCCGTCCAATCTCGTAAATGTGGTAACTCTTGAAGGCATGATGGAATTTTTGAAAATCCATTTGTGAAAAAGAAGTGAAGTTAAAAATGGCTTGAAAAAGGTTTATAGCTTCACCTTCATGATGCACACAGGCTTTAATGAGTTCAAATGGTTTCCAGTGACGATGAGCACAAAAATATCTCTAAATATCAACATAAACTTGTAAACAGCATAAATAAAGTGTCAGTTCGTGCAGATTCTCAGTCATCCAGATAATCCTAAGACTTTCTCTTTTTGGTTTTTCCAGACGTTTCTATCCAAGAGGCTCTAACTGAACGATGGGGAGTCTCAGATATATATTTTATTGTTCCCCCAAATCCTGTTTCTCCAGGTGTTAATGGTGGTAAAACGTTCTACAGAGGGATATATAGACCACATCATAAGTACCTGATAAGTGTTTTGAACTGAAGAATCCTCTTGGACAAAACATGAAACATCAAGAACCAAAACCAGAACACCCGCTGCTTTCTACTGCAGCTTTTAGGATCTTTTCTTTCAGGTTTATAATCTTTAATTTTGAAATAATATTTTCAGTAGCTGGAAGTGTTTCCTGAGCTGCCAAAGCTGCAAGAAGAGACATTAGAGACACCAGTGTTGTAAAAACTGAGTGCTTGAAAGAAAATCAACAGCTTTGTCACATTGGTCACAGTAAAACCTCTTGTGTCTGCGTGATACGCTGCAGAGCTCAATCGATTGCACCAACGCGTGGCTCCAAATTTTTAAAATGACCTTGATTTTTAAACAAAATATCAATAAAAACCTCTGATTTAGTCTTTGCTTGTGTGTGTTGGAGGTGTTTGTTTTCCTCTGGCGTCACGGAGGCATCAAACCGCATTTTACTGAGCTGATCCTCTGCACTGAAAACAAATTATCTCTTATTTTTCACTTGTTATGGGAGTCGGGCTCTTAACTCGCCGTAAAGTGCCAGAAGCAACAGTCATCTCTGTGAGCTGCTAATCCTCAGCAGGCCTCAGATCAACCGCAGATTCTGCACGACTTCTGATCCTCCTGCAGTCTGAGCTGCAAACACAGTCGAGGAGGTTTTTCTTTGTTCCACTGAGCTCCTGCTGTGGTGGAACAAACTGAACAGGAGAGAAAAATCTGCTTCTTCAAATTATTTTTGCTGTTGTTTTTAGACTTTACTTTTAATGATGAATCCTCTTGGGTTTCAGATTTGTTTTTAAGAGGACACTAGTTTGCATGTGAAGTTAGATCCCTGTTTATTTGTCCTGATAATCACTTTAAGAAGCTTCTTCTCGCTTCTTGTTCCAACAGAAATTTCCTGGGAACAAAAGAGACGTCATTGCTCCTCATGGCCATGTTCCTCCTCGCTGTGTTTTATCACGGACAGCAGGTAAGAGAATGTTCTAGCAGCTTTATAATTGGTAAAGGACATTCATTTCTATGTGCAGTCAAGATGTGAACTTTATCAGACCTTCAGCATGTGAGCAGTAGGTCATAAAAACCACGTTTTGATTTGGAAGATGCTGCAGAAAGTTATTACGTTTTCGGATCAGGACTTTTATTACGTTATTGGCCTACTACATTTTAGAAATGGCAAATTTATTACGTTGTCAGCTGTTATTACGTTATCGGCTTCTACAAGGTGCTTTAGTGTATACAGGGAGCTTGAATCAAGTGAATGAAACAAGTCAGAGGAGTGGGGTACAGAGAACAAGCAACTAAGCAAACCAAACTAAAACAACAGAACCTGAACACTGAAAACATAAAACTCAGGAGACAAAGGAAACACACTAAATACATGGAACTAAAACATGATTGGCTGAACTGCAAACAGCTGAACAAAACTCAGCATGACAAGGCTACAGAGTAAACAGAGTGTACACTAAACTGACTGAATTAGCAATGGAAGAGAAACAACAAACCCTCCACTCACTCCCTAGCTATGTAGTGAACTATGTAGGGAGCACCTTTGCAAAGTAGCATATCGGACACTACTCAAGCTATTACTAAGTCGCTTGCTAACCACATTTGAGCTGTAGCAGCGTAGTGCAAGCACATCAAACTCACAGTTTGTTACATGGCTATGACATGGGTAAAACTGAAATTAGCAGTACAAGCTAATAGGGAAATTACTTCATTATGTTTTAATGACAAGTTTTCAAACTTCGTCTCTTTCGAAAATGTTCTTTCGCGCAATGCATGATCGTTATCAGGCTTCTGCAGAGCTTGATGATGAGCTGATCATTTGAATCAGGTGTGTTGAAAGAGAGAAACATCTAAAGCATGCAGGACTGTGGCCCTCGAGGACCAGGATTGTCCAGCCCTGATATAGGGTATAGCAAGTGATTTTGGACACAGCCCCAGAGTTTCATTGAGAGGAGATTGGTTATGGTTTGTCAGGTGCTGGGGCAGAAATCCTGACAGTAGCCAAATTTAAGTTTCAAATTGTGGTATTTCATCAGAATCATTTGATCCAACACGGTTTATGTAGAAATTTACCATATTAACTAATTAGGTCTAACCAGATTCTGTACAAAACAAAAAACAAAAACAAAAAGTCTATATTCCTTGGTGCAACTGTCAAGCCATTAACAGTCATGTACCAAAAATAAAGAGGGTTTTTGGCTGCGACCTTTGGCGACGACCTTGAGCAGCAAATACTTAAAAATGCATCAGATCTCCTGCTGAAATAGTTATTCTCAGTTTCTTTATGTGTGTTTTCAACTCTAAATGCTGTCATGTTCACCGTTTTGGAACTGGAATCCCAAAAGCAGATAAAGATGTGACTTAAAAGCTGAGCAGCCAAAACCAGAAGCGTCTACAAGGACACATAGTGTATCAGCAAACGTGGCGGTTGGGATTAATCTAACTTTTGTCAGATCAATATAAGAGTGAGAAAGAAGGTAAATCACTCTCTAGTGAGTTCTGTGCCTTAAATGGAAAACTGTAAGAAGAGGAAACCCCTTGGCTTCTCAGTATGCATACAAGCTGCCACAAATAGGTGCAACTATTTGTGCAACACAAAGACTGAAAACCAAACATGCTGTCAGGTTTTATTGCTGTGTAATGTGTGACCTGAGTGTTTCGTCTGCAGATACAGGCAGAAACCACATCTGAAACATTATACAAGCCGTTTTATAAAGATGCATTCGCAGTCAGCGGCCGCCTGAAGGAAACCGTGCTGCTTTCATGCTCTCTCTATGGCAACCTTTGATCAGCCGGCTCAGCAGCTCGGCGTCGGTCCGAGACGGAGGGGAAACGCCATAATTGAAGGTCTTTTGTGGTCTCATGAAAGTAGAAAAAGCAGCTGCATTTGAAGTCATCCAGTGGCATATTGATTTTCTCTGGGTCAGTTCGACCACTTGTTTGGCAAAGCAGAGAAAATGACTGCAGCCGGCGGGAGGTTTGTAACACCGAGAGGCTGTTTGTCAGGAAACACGCTGTTAGCTCCGAGCAAAACATGATCTGGCTTGTTAATTTTTAGAGTGCAATGACATAATTTGATGATCCCTGCAACTGGTTTGGTGTTTTCTGCAAATTCTTTAAAAATGATCCTTGCTAAATAATAGTAATGTGTAATAAAAAGGCACTACAATGTGTTCCTTTCTACTAAAGATGATAATCATATTCCGTTTCTTTGTTGCATTTACTAATGCGTTTTTACGGAAATGTTCCATCAGCATTATTAGAGTTTTAATCAAAGCCATAATGTCTGAATGACGGTTAAACCTCTGAAACCCTAAGAAAGGCATGTTGACTTGACAAAAAAAAGGCAGAAACTTACGTAATGTGAATAAAAATGTGCAAAACTTGACCAAATACAGGATGATGTTTGGTCAAAATAATCTGGATGTCGCATTTAAAAATTTGTCAAAATCAACCGTTTCTATTGATAAGATTCTGTGAAAAACCAAAAAACTCTTCACTCCTCTGTACAATCATGAAGCCATTAGTGACTCAGCTGTGACCAACAGCTGTGACAAAAAGTCAGCGAGTTTTTGGTTGAACTGCAGGCTGTGTTTACACAGAGAAAATAGGAGACAAGTGGGAAAGCAAATAAAAAATGTAAATATAATTTTTTTTTTTCCCACCAGACCTCCTCAGAATCAGTTGATTCTTTATCTACAGTAACTTTATTTAATGAAGCAGAGTTCTACCTTCATACTATGAACATTTCCAGAGTTCCAGGTCCTTGAAGTCCATAGAGGAGGGTCCACATTTGTCACTTTAATGGACTTTTTCCATCATTTCTGAGCCTCAGAACTTCATCAGTACAGCAGATAGACACATGACATTTTAGGAGGAAAAACACATTTATGTTCTGGTGAAAACTGAAACCAGATCAGTTTTACATCCATGCAGGTGTCACAGTCTAAAGACTAAATCTGGTTTCTATAATTTTGAGCAATTCAAGTCATTCTGGACTTCTTAAGTCATTCTGAACAGATATTGGTTTGTTTTGAGCTGTTTTAAGTCCGTTTGGACCACTGTTGAGCCTGTACAGGTTTATATAATCCTGGATGTTGTGATGATAGTCTGAAGAGTAAAACTGCAGTAGTTTAATGTCTATGACATAGAGTGATAGAAACAATCATTGGTGCCCTGGATGTGTTTCTGTTTTCTGATAATTCACCAGAGAAAGCTTTAAAACGTGCATTCTGGGTAAACTTTCAAGGCTCATATCAGCATGTGTGATGGTGGTTTGTCAGAACTAGTTATAGACAATGAAAAGATTTTATTTATTTATTTTACCAACATTCGATACCAGGATCATCTTCTAGACACGATTTCAGGCCTCTTAATTCTACGCAAAAAGTAATCAGAAATCTCACATTTTCAGAGCCGGGTGGGTTTTCAGTTTGGATTTAAAATCCAACAGAAACGTGAAGTGATGAAGTAAAACAGAGGAAACATATCAGGATACTAAAAACGATATAATGAAGCATCATCGGGCTTCAGAGTCAGAACAAGGCCTTTTCAGTCCTTTTGTATCTGAGAAGTCGCAGCACCGTCATTGGCCATTATTGATAAATTTTTATTTTTTTTAAAGCACGAACACGGAGGCTGTTAAAACATTAGAAAGTGCTTCTTTCACAAGAGACACTTAATTGATTTTATTGTGCCATGAAGAAGAGCTGAACGATGGAGTGGACTGTTTCTGTCTTTTATTCTTCTGTACGGCCTCTTTGATGACGACAATCTTGCTCTCATTCGGCGCTTGTAAAATGTGTGTGATGTCTTAATAATGAACCACAAAGCATTTTAACACATTTTCTCTTCATTTGTCGAAGCCGGTTATTATTTGAGGTCAGAAAAAGCTTTGATCAAGAATACAAATACGACTTAATCTTACATAACTGTAATAGTGTGCATTTAACTGTAAGTAACACAAGTTAATGTATTGAGATAAGCAGTTCGTTGACATTTATTGTATGTTTTCTGCTTTATGAAGTTGATCTTTGCAGCAGAGGAAACTAAGCCTGGGGCCTTTAGCGTAATAAACTAATGGTGACGGAGCGCTGAAGCCAGATGAGCTTTAATTATATTATCGGGCAAAGTGAACACAAATCATTTTAAGAGCCGTTGATTCATCAAAGTTGTTATCTAACGGTAGCAGTTACATAAAAAAGAAATCTAATCATTTGATTTAGTAAAGTAATGTAACATATAATCATGTTTGTTACATAATTTAACTTGATCCAAACAGAGCCTCTTTTCCAAAACAACTCATATGTTAGTAAAAGAGCTTTGATCAGTGTTTTAATTTAGTTAAGTTTGGAGAAGGACGCTGGTCATGAAAAAAGTTAACATTTGGAGAAGGCAGGATGCAATCTGTTGTTTCCAAAGTCGAGATCACCAGAGGTTTGTGAGCCCAACCATCCACCCCGACCTCCTCACTTTGAAAATCTTTAATTCTGTTTTTGAATTCATTGTCGAGCTCAATAAAATGCTGCTATGGATGTTCTGTAACACCCACAAATTAATGAGCTACTGTGAAAAGATAGAATGATTTCCCCCAAACTTAAAACAAAGTTTATGAAATTATAGTTAAAAGATTTCATCTGTTGGGAAAATGAGAAGATTTAATATAATACATAATTTGTTATGTATGAAAAGATAAAGTTACTTACAATTTGAGTGTAATCATAAACAATACATTGGAATTCTATTTTATTTGTTACTTATTTAAACAACAATAAGTAATTGTGAAAATTACATCAGCATGTATTGTGAAGTGATAACTGGTACCTTCTGAATCACATATTGACACCAAGAAGTAAACCTTGATTAACCAACACAGTTTGAAAATAGCTACGGAACAAAGTGGATCATAAACAGTTAAATATTTTCCACGGGAGTCGGAGGAGACCCAAACAGAGCTAAAAGAAGACTAAATGTTGGACTTAGATTCCTCTGATTTGACTGCCACAAATATAAAACCCCAAAATAACACAATCAAAGCCAGAAACTGCATATTCCAACAGTCCTTGAAGGTATCACATGTGACGCACTGTTCTGTCGGGAAAATTGACTAAATCTAAGCTGAAAATTGTGATGTTTTATCAAAGTCACTCTATTGTACATTTCGCATTCAAAAAATTGCCAAAAATAAAATGTTTGCACCAAATCCTGTAAAGAAAAAAAAAACGTACATGAATGTCTGTTCTTGTGTTTTATGAATGACTGAAACATAAAACAAAAATTGAGGGACTTTTTGGCTGAACTGCAGGCAGTGTTTACAGAGAGGACCAGAGAGGAGGCAGGTATGGACACAAATTAAAAATGTAGATAGGTTCATATCTGTCGCATCTTTCCATTTCTGGTAAAAATCTGTAGACACACTTTTTCTGTGAAATACAAAGAAATGAATCTGTCTTTTTTCTGATTTGTGTTTTTCTAATTGTGTCATTCTGCACAGAAGACATTTCTGAGTTCTCTCTCGTTCTTCATGGTTGTTCTGTTTCCACAGAGGTTCAGGACTTTAGACTGCAGTAAAAAAATAAATAAATGAATAGAACAGTGGAAAAAAATGAGACAGGATCAAGAAAAACTGCTTTAGGTTTAATTGTAATCTTGAAAAAGGCACCAAATATAATCATAAGTATCCCCAGTTGTCAGTTCTTCTATATCGGTTGAAGGATTTCATGCACATCCTAGAAATGTTCTCAGATTGTCTGAAATGCAAATTTAATGTAAAATGTTCAGAGTAACAAGCAGCTGTCAGATAAATGCAGTGGAGCAAAAAGCAGAATATTTCTTTTCGATGTGTAGTGAAAGAAAAGCAAAGTCTCCAAAAATGTCTTTTTTTTTTTTTGGTCTAAATCTGCTCTGTCTTTAAAATCTTCTTCTTTGAACTCTGGCTGTCAGATGTAGATTTCTCTACACTGTGTGAGGAGACAGCAGCTCTAATATTAACTAAAATTCTTATTAGGAGTGGGTTTATTTTCTGTTCCTCTCTGAGGATTAATATCTGTGAACCGCGGAGGTCATGCTGGTTAACGTCTGAGCAGAGTTTGCATTCTAGATTAGAAAAACAGAAAATGAGAGTGAAGGTTTTGCACTCACTCTTATGATTAAGCGACTAATTGATACCACGATTAATCACAAAACTGTTTCCGCCGAGAGAGAGTCTCTTAAATCCTCCCAGGCTTATCTGCTGCCCTCCAAATTAATTTCCAATATCGGGGGTGATTTTTTATTTCCTGCTCTGCAGTACGAGCCGAACAGAGACGACTTTTGTCGGGCTCTAATGTATTCAAATGACTTTGTATTAATTGCTCATTCAAAAAAGCAATTTGTGCTGCGTATCAGAATCCTTCAGATTGATCGCATTCTGTCGTGTTACATAATTGATCCGGCCTTTAACAGATTTTTTAATTTAGCTGTTTGTTCCAGAACTGCAGCTCGACTTTTTCATCATCTGAATGATTTGAACAACAGATTTTCCTGTAAACTTTTTTTTTTTTTTTTTAATAGTGACGTGATTAACAAAGGCTTGTGTTTGTGCTTAGGTCTGAAAAGGGGGAAGAGATGCTTCAAAAGTTGCACCAAAATAATGATGAACTGTTTTAGTTTGTTTGTGTAAAGAATAAATCTCCAGTCACCATCTCAGGCAGAGTTAACAGGGTCAAGACGAGTACCTGCTGATTTCTTAGATTTATTGGCTTGTTTTGACCCAAAAAAAAAAATATTGTATTTCTCTATAATATTAAATATGTATGACCAAACTTCAGAAGTGAACTTTGCTGTTTATTATTTTTTTGACTCAAAATTTCTGCTTCTTTCGCATAGTGTGTTTTCATCTGGTTTAACAACCTCCCACTTCAAACCAGGGAGGCGATCACAGAAAGCCAAATACTCACATCTTTCATGCTAAAAAAAGCTAAAGTTTTCTAACTGTGGAAGATAACTTCTAGCAATTCAGAAAAAAAAGGTTATTTACGATTGTTTAACTTCTACTATCAGCTGGTTTCATCTTGTTCCTAAAAGTTCTCATCAAATCACAAATCTGATTTCCATAGCGGTGTCCTCATATAAGCTTTTCCTCCTTTCCAGACTAAAACACTCGCTCTGTGGTTTGGTCACACTGTGTTCCCGACACGTAGCACCGCAGAGAAAAGAATCACTTTTTACTTGTTATCCAGCAGCAGATTATGACTTCAGATAGTTTCTGTCTGCTGGGAACAATAAATTGTTTGCCTGAGGCACAACCAGCATTTAGATCTGATGTCTCCGCTACACCTGCAGACCCACAACAACAAGCTGAAAAATCATATAAATATATATTTATATATACATAGATTTGTATTCTCAAATATTTTGCCTCGATGGTTAATGTTTGGTAAAGTTTAGAGGAACTGAACCTATTTAGGGAAAGATTATGTGATTATAGTTAACTTGTCAATATAGTGGTTTTTTATGTGCAGGAAAAGCAGCATAAGTGAAATTAGCAGAAAGATAAGATAAAATATATTAACACTGAAGGAAATTCTTTATTTTTTTTGTTTGGTTGTTTGTTTGTTTTAGTCTCAAAAACACAGATTCAGATCTCCAGGATTTCATACGTAACCAACAAATGGTGTACAGTTCCACCTAAGCCATTCTGAAGCTAGACATGATTATTTTCATGGAAATAAAACCTTCTAAATATGTCATTTCGATACACGGAAATACATTTTTAGTAATTAGAATAATGTCTGAAGAGGGAGCAGGAAATAATAAACTCAGCACTGACTACTAGCAGACTTTCAGCCAGCTGAATGTTCCAGTGTGTCCAACCATCCACCCCAATCTCCTCCTTCAAGATTTTCAGATGTTAAAAGAGCATCACAGTGTTTCAGTGTTCCTTCACTGTTAAAGACTGGATTTAATTAATTGCATGACTATAAGAGGACAGTTATCAGGAAAACATCAGCACAGATTGCTTTAATCATTCTAGCAACTAATCAGTGCTGAAAAACACCCCGGAATGAGTTTTCCAAAAGGTTTTCAGTGGCCTAAAACTGCATGTGGACGAAACACCAAAATGCAAAAAAACAGTTGCATTTTAAGTTCTGATTTGATGTTTGAGTTCATAGGTGCACAAATTACAGAAAATCACACCCAAATAAATGTATTTCATCCAAACGTAGAGTATAACTGCAAACATCAAAACCCTAAAACTAACTTATTCAAATGACTCATTAAATCGCTCAAAGAACTTTGTATATCTTTGAATGAAAAAACACAAAGTCGCACATCTAACACTGTAAGTTACTGATTTTAAACTTCTTGTTTGAAACTGAGGGAAGAGACAGAAAAATGATGTTCATGTTGGTCAATAGCTGTTTAATTCATGTTTATTTTTTGTGTTTTTTCCATCTTCAGCTGGAGTACACGGCTCGGCTGGACTTCCTGTGGCGCGTCCAGGCCAAAGAGGAGATCAACGAGATGAAGGAGTTGCGAGAACACAATGAGAACATGCTGAGGAACATCCTACCGAGCCATGTGGCCCGACACTTCCTGGAGAAGGACCGTGACAACGAGGTCTGTGGAAAAACCCAGTTACACTTTTACAATTTATCCTCAGGGTGACGGTCTGAAGGTGTCCACAGAGAGAAACATGTCATCGGCCAGAGATATATGAAAAAGTGAACACCGTTGTAGTTTGTTTACTTAGTGTTGCAGTACTTACTATTAGACTCACATTTTATTGCAGATCTAAGAAGACTCAGTTGTGTCTCCATCAGTGTTGTCATTTGAGTGAAACTTTATTTATTTCGAAAAAGAAAAAAAAAGATTGCAGGGGATTATCATCTGTCAAGATGTCTCTCTTAAGATCTTAAGTCATCTAAGTAATTTTAAGGGCATTAAAGTTATTAAAAATCAGTCCAATATGCTTGACTATTGAATAGTTTTACAATGCAATAAGAAAAAAAAGCATTTCTGCATCCAGTCTGTTCCTTAATGGTCTGCAGATGTTCAGGAACCTTGTTATAAAGCTGCGGTAGGACACTGTCTGGAATATAGAGTTTAAATGTAGTGTTAGAGGGTAGGATGTCCCGTGGCTCCACAAGCTCCAACAGATGGAGAAAACCTGTATTCTCTAACGTGATGTCAGTAAATGTATCATAGATCAGCTGTAGTACCTGGTTGTTCCACCAGGTGGAGCCTCTTACAGTTTAGTGCTGTAGAGAACAGAGGAGACGTCACTCAGACTACAGACAGTTCATGTTCGCAAGCAGAGAGCATTGTGGGAGTTTAGCTAGCAACAGGCACCATGACAAAGACTTCTGTGGAGGTTAATGACATCCAACCAGAGCTCATGTAGTGAAGACAAACTGGAATCCACCACACAACTCAAGATTTGCATCCCAAGTGTTGTGCTAAAAGTCGTGCTCTCCCTGTTTGATACTTGTGTGACAGTAAATGTTCATAAAGAATCAGGCTGTGATGGATCAATTAAATAGTACCTCTATCTGCCCCGAAGTTAACCTTTTCCAGTTTTTTGTAATACAATCAAAGATCAATTTCAAGCCTATTCAACTCAACTTTTACCAGTTGGAAAGGTAGAAAATCAACCGAATCCTAAGGACAATTATCATTTATTGTGAGTTTGATCTACATTTTTTCCACCTACAGCATTGTACATTTTGTTTGAAATGTGGGTAACATCACTGAAAAGGCGGCTCACAGTTTGACCCACCGGATGTAGACTCAGGGTGTTAGTCTACCATTTCTGGGTACACTTCCCAAATTATTCCATCCTCTGATATCTGCATGAAACCGTTCTTAAAATCCTCTTAAACAGCAACACTAACCTCCAAGCAGCAAACTTCATGCTGAAAAATTTTGTGCAGTAAGGACTAGCACATTTCAGGTCAGGATTTGCTGTTAATTTGAGACATTTTGGGGTTGTCCCTTCATCTGTCTTGTAAATGCGACATGTCTTGGAGGAAATTTCTACAAATTCGGCACCAAGATTCCACTTGAACTCAAGTATGAACAGAACTAGATTTTAGGGTAATTATGACAAAATTTCACACAAATGTCTAATAGATTAGAATACCTGCAGCCGCTCATAAGTAAAAAGATGCATTTTTTCAGTGCAGCATTCGGGCAATGACAGGCAACATCTGAGCAGTGACTGTGGAGTTCAATATTTAGAGTTTTTATGAAGCATTTCCTCTTCGCAGACATCTTCACCTCGTTTTTTACCACCGACCTGCTGCAAAATTAGTCCCCTGCGTTCATTAGAGTTCGTTCCCGGAGCCTCGGTTTTGCCGTCTGTACACAAAAGAAAAGGCTGCATAATTGCTCTTCAAAGACTGTTGAGAGACAGAAGGAGAGAAATCGGCTGGGTGGTTCATTCAGCCGGAAATCTTTGTTGAGCCATACAGCTTCTTTTTTCTTTTTTTTTTTTTTTTTTTTTGGTTGCATGCATTTGATTTGATTTTAATAACATGTTGTCAGTCAGCAGCAGAGCACACATTGATTTGTGTCTCGGCTGTGACTCAGCTGTCCAAACTTTGCAGAGAAGTTCCTTGTTTTATTCCCCTCCGATGCCCTTCACTTCTACATTTCTTTGACTGTGTGTTTGTTTGAAGTCTAAAATCTGGAAAATCTGCTCATATTTTTCTCCAAATGATTTCAGCTTCACGCCCAAATCATCCCTCTGTGCATTAAATCCTTGATTGCATTGGAATACTCTGCACAACAAAATACATCCAGGCAACACATTATCACCGCAGCGCTCCAGCAGCAGTGAGCTTTACTGTTCATTTTTACACTGTGTGTGTTAAACTTCAGCTGCTTGTCCACAGAAACCCATGTTGTTGTGCTCACATTGCATCTTGAGGCAGTTTGGAACCACAAACATGAGATAAAAGATGGATTTAGCTGCCGTGACGTCACCTGTTGGCTTGTGGTCTGCAGTTTTCAGGCCTACTTAGCCATTGCCATCTTGGTCTTTTAGAACCGGACATATCAAGCAACCAAAAAGGAATATTTCCTCTAAAAGGACCTGTAATTTACAAAATGAACATCATTCAGTTTCTCATAACTAACAAATTAGACCATAAACTTAGTAGAAAAATGTTTACTGAGGTAACAAATTGAGTGAGAAGTAGATTTTTTTTCTCATAGACGTTGATATAATCAACCTCTTTCTGCAACTCGGAGTCGCTCCCTGCTGCCTGTTAGACAACATGCAGATTTAGGGCACCTCCGCATTACCTTCAAGTTGCAGACCCAGTTGCAAATGAGGTGAATAGATTTTTTTTCTTCCCTCTGAGCTCATTTTTCTTATTGCTTCGAAGCTGAGCTGGACGTTCCACCTAACAAGTGTTCGAGGCAGATTTAGTAAAAATGTGACAACCTGACCTAATGTGAAGAGGCATCCTGGGATGTTGAGATATTTCAGTCCAGACCAAGGCAGCAGATTGAATGGAAGTGACAAAAAAGTCATTACTTTACAGAGATTTAGAAGACTGATGACCTTAAAAGTGTGAAAACGAAAAAGCTGCGTGATAACTTAGTGTTTCTCTCTAATGAGCTGCCAGCAATTGAGATGAAAGATGAGATGAATCTATTTAAATATACATCACCAGGGCTTCAGATTAGCTGCATTTTTTTCTTAATGTGGAAAAAGATGGTGACAAGGAAAAAGGTATTTTTTTAATTCCTTTCTTTCCCAGTTCCCCTTGCCATTGCTGCTGCTGCTGCCGGAGTCAGATCACTGCTTTGTCCTTCGTTATCGACTCCTCCGATCTTCCGTTGCCTCCCGAACAAAGGTCGAGCGTCGGATGAATTATGAATGTGCGGAGGGGAGAAGCTGATAGCATTCTGCTCTCACGCCTGTTCCTAATTAAAAAGGACACGATTAAAAATGCACCATTAGAACGGTTTGGGTCCTAATCACTCGTTACATTATTAATCAGCCTGTTTATTGTTCTGAGGTTTAGATACCAGAGCTGTGCTGCATTTAACGGGCTCACACAGCCTGAAGAGCTTCTCAGGATCTTTGGAATTAATGAAGTGACAGAAAGCTGAGCGCTGTTAAAATCAACAGGTATTTTATGACAGGACTGCTCCCACAAAGTTATCTGCAAGTTCTAAAAAATGTTTTGGAGCAAACATTTTATCGTAAGGTTCGAAGAATGTTACTTCAAATGTTGTTCCTATAAGGTTAAATGTTGATAAGGTTTTAATTGCAACATTCAGAGGATGTTTGCAGGATGTTGTTAGGAAGCACATTCTGGAACCAACATAAGTAAAATGTCTTTAAAATGTCAACAATAGAATGTTTCTCATAGAAAGTTCCTGTAATGGGAACATTTTGCCGGCATGTTTTTGGGACATTGTTGAGGAACACGTTATAGAGCGTTCTTCCGCAAAACATTCTCACACTGTTCCATGATATCAAAGGAAGTACATTCTAAATACGACATTTGGAAAACAATTTAGGAAAAATGACTTTAGAGAACTTTATCTTGCATTTAAGAAAAACATTCTTGCTGAAATCATTACAAGAACCTTCTCAGAATCTTTTAGAACAAACAAATTCTGGCTAAGAGTGCCCCTACTCAAGAAAACTTTAGCTTCAGTCCATATTAAAGGTCCGTATTTTGGCCCTTTTCATCAAACAATGAAAGTCTTTACAGTATGATTTTAAAATTTCACCTCAAAATACCACAACGGCGGTTCATTCCTCCATGGCTGTACAACTTCTGGTTTTAGTTTCAGTGTCTGTCGCTTTAAATTCAGCTGAGCTACTACTAGCCCCGCCCCCTTCAGGAAGAAGACCGTCTCTGCGGCTGTGATTGACAGATGAATGAGTGTGTTCGAGCAGCTGGACTTTATCTATGAAGAGATTTTACTTGAAAAAGTGAAAAAAGTGAAATTCTCAGCACAGTCATTTTTTTTAACTTCTGTGTTTGGTGAGTTTGTAGCTGACGTTTTAAAATTAGTGTTTTCGCAGCTTGGAAATGAAGCGACTGCAGGTAATTATATTGTCTTAATGAGTTTCAGTCTCTGTGTCATCCTTGTTCTTTTGTCTGACAGCAGAAGCAGAAACATGTGTAAATGAGAGCAGCTTTATTGAGCTCAGCTGTTTTAAAATGCAGTTTAAGTGAGCACAGTGAGCAGGAGAGAAGCTAACAGATGGAAACAGCAGCTGAGTTTAGGTTGAACATGTTAACACAGTAAGACACCCAGTTCCTGTTTACGGGTTTTAATTAGTTTTAATTAATGTTTCCACAGAGCTCTGACCTGTGGACACACCATCAACGCTAATATTAGCCACTAAGGATTCTCCTAGTGTTGTGGGGACATTAACATCAACAATCCCAGTAATCTACTGGGTGTTCAGTTCCTCAGATGCCGGTAGTGCATGAAGACTGTTGAGTTCACTCTTGCAGCCAACAGCAGAACATTTGTTGAGTTTTACTCATGGTTCAGACATTTTAGAGTTTAGCAGAAGCGGCTGTAGAAAGTAAATAAACACGGTGGACAGCTTCTATTTTATACCTCCAACTTTTTAAAATGTACAACACAGAATTGAAAGTGTTTGTCTGTGTTTGTTCAAATCATTTGAC